GCCATGTGACAGGAAGGGGGTGAATAGCATGTCAGAGCCCACAACCCCAAGTCCTGGGAGGGATCTTCCAAAAAGCCCAGCTGTGACAAGGGATCAAGCAACTAAGACCTGGGAGCAGAGTCAGATCGTGACTGTCCGGATGCTCCTTCCCGGACAGGGTGATCCCCTGAGCAGTCTGCACGCTCTCCTTCCAAACCTTCAGATGGAAGACACCTTTCATTCAGTAGGAGCCCATAGAGAGAGACTGCATCACTGCGAATGTGTTCACCATACACAGTTCCTGGTTTCCAGACCACGAAACAAGGATGTAAAAGGGGCCAGCCACAGCTGTTGCTGGAAGGTCGCACCCCAAACAGTAATGCAGCTTGTCAATGGATAGTGTGATAATGATGAGCCATTTTATCTCCTCCTTGCTCTGATCTGTGTGTGTGTGTGTGTGTGTGTGTGTGTGTGTGCACGCGTGTGTGTGTGCGACATTTTCTTTTGGTTACCAAATCAAATGAAACCATTTGGGTGGAACATGTTGGGATCTCACAGCAATTATAGAGTTTGTGCCTCTTGCTTGTTGAAGGTTGGAGCCAAAAAAGCTACCTCAAAGATGGACCAAGAAAGAGAGATGAAAAAAGAGACATCCAGCAAACCCAGCCAGAGCCTGTTGTTTTCTAAGCCTGGTGGAAGGAACTAGAGCAATGTTGTCTCACCCAGACTCATGTGATTCTCCGTGAGTCGGTTTGACTCCTCCATGTCAAAATATTAAGACGTTTTATGTAGGACTTTCTAGACTGGTATTTTGCACAGTATGTATTTGAGAGTGTGGGGGAACAGGGGTTCTTTTTTTTTTAATAACTATGAATATGTACAAACTCAGGTATGTGAAAGTATGTTTGTAACCTAGACTCCTCAGTCTGGTATGCACAATTTCCCAGTTTCACATTTGGGTCATGACATCACACCCCAAAGGAGCTCTGGGAGACCCATAGTGGAGAAAATCCAAGACTGTCATTGGAGTCAGGCAGAAGGGGAAGCTCTGGGCTCTTGGGCCAGGCCATGGGGAATTGAGCTGACTTTATTGTAATAAATTTAGAATGCCAATCAGTTTARTTGCTTCCATAATAACAACTAACATTCCTATGGCACTCTCTGCAATTTTCAAAACTCTTTTTAAATCCTTCCTGGGCCCAAGGAGGTCAAGAATATTGTGCTCCCTGTTTCGTAGCTGAGAAGCTGACCCAGGGGGRTTCACAGACCTGCCTAGAATCCCACAGCTTTAAATTCAGGAACTGGTCTTGAACCCGAGTTTCTAATTCCATCTCATCCTTTCCATTCTGCCACACCAAGATGGCCCAGTGGTTCCAGTCCCAGACCACAAGGACAGACCAAGTTCCCAGAGAACACACACTGCCCAGGAGGCCGCACCAACCTCGCCTGGTGTTGGGAGGGACCCTCCTTGCCCTGGCTCCGTCTCTGCTTCTCCCATGGCCTGCTTTCTCTCTGTCCACCTGTCCTCTCAACGCTTTCCTTGTGTTGAGGGAAGGGGAAGAACCAGAAGTCATGAGTAGGATTGAGTCTATAGATGTACAATAAAAATATTTTTTATGTTTTAAAACCAAGTGTCTTATTAATACCAATTAAAACTCAGGGGAGGGCGGGGGATACAGCTCAATTGGTAGGGTGCGTGCCTCTCATGCCCAAGGCCCTGGGTTCAATTCCCAGCACCACACACACACACACAAACACACACATACACACCCCTCAGGGGAAATCCATGAACTCTTTATGTGATCTCCCCCACAGAGGGCGGGCTCTAAAGACAGTGACCTTGAAAAGGTGAAAATTCCAGAAACTGGAAGAAGAATCTGGTAGTAAGAAAACCCACACCTCATCTCCAAAGTCCAAAGAAAGTTTTTCTCTAGCACCAGAACAGATCRCTTGGCTAAGCAGCTGGTGCAAGTTTGAGATCCAAATTGTGTGAAAAATCCATTGTTTGTTGAACAGGTATATTTTACCTACAATGGCTTTATGAATCCCCATACTKTCTTTCAAAGGAACGTGTTAAGGTTTAGCCTATCAGCTTCACCTCCGAGGGTGACTCCTCCAAGGAGGCGGCTTCTCCTCGGCCCCGCCCCTCCCTCCCCTGAGCAGCTCCCTTGGCCATCGCTGATTGGCTGGGTGGTAGTTACCCAACCCAAGCCGGGCCAATCCGATTTCCCTCCTAATTCCAGCCGGGCCAATCAGCATCTCTGCCCTTAGGGTGCCATTCAGGACAGTGGTGGAGCTGGGGCAGAGAGAGAAGGTGCGCTCCAGGGCTGGCGTGGGCCTTTCCTGTAGCAAGGTGTTCAGAAACAGAAGGTCGGAGCTGCAAAGAGTAGAGAGRCCAGGAACCCGGAGCCCCAGAGCGAGCGGGTGCTGCAGGCACCAGGGGGGGCCAAGAGCGTATCCTGCCTCAGAAGCTGAATGCTGCGCCCTGGATTTCCCCGCCTCCCTTGCAGCTAGCAAGGCCGCAGTGTGACCTCTGCCCAGGTCATAAAGGAAAGCCCCAGGAGGGCTTCCCTTGGAGAAAGCTTTGCCCCTTTGCCCCCGGTTCCCTTTTGGTCCTGGGGCTCAGGTTTGGTGCAAGGGCAAACTGTCTTGGGGATCATCAGATAAAAAGCAAGAAGCCAGCAAGGCTTGGTGGCACACGCCTGCRRCTCGGGAGGCTGAGAAAGGAGGATCGTGAGTTCAAAGCCAGCCTCAGCAATGGTGAGGTGCTAAGCAACTCAGTGAGACCCTGTCTCTAAATAAAATACAAAATAGGGCTGGGGACGTGGCTCAGTGGTCGAGTGTTCCTGAGTTCAATCCCCCGTACCAAAAAAAAAAAAAAAGAAGAAGCAGCAGCAGCAGCAGCCAGAGCTCCCCCACCAAGGACAGTAGACCGGAAAGACAAGAGCAAGGGGTGCCTGGCGGCATCCAAGAGTGCAGGACTGCTCACCTCTGTATTTGTACTGTAGGACAGATAGGCCCCTCCAGTTGAAGCCACGGAGTCACCTGGGAACGTTTGTGCTGGGCAACAAAACACCCCAAACTTATTGACCCAGAATGACAAATATTATTTCTCATGAGTCCATGGATCAAGCTGGGCACTTCTGCCATCTAGGATGGCTTGGCTGGAGCTGGATGGTTCAGGGTGGCCTTGTTCTCATGCCTGGTCACTGGCGGACAAATGGGTTAGGTCAGTAATCTCAAGGAGGGGCGAGGTAGACAACCCCTGCCCCAGGAGACGTTTGACAATGTCTGGGTATAATTTTTGATGATCACCTCTGGGGCAGGAGGGTGCTACTATTATCTATGGGATTTAAAAAAAAAAGGCACAGAACAACACCCCACCWCAAAGAATCCCTTCCTCTCGAATGTCAGTAGTAGTGAGGTTGAGAAACCCCGTGAGAGGGGCCTCCAGCTGCAACAGCTTGTCTTAGCTCAGCAAGCTGGTCACCACCAGCAGGCCAGACGGTCACAGGTCACAGTGGTTACAGGTCCCCAGACATGGCAGTGAGATCCAGCCCCGATGCACAAGCAGCCTTCAAGTCTCTACCTGCCTTGTGTTTGTTTATACCTCGTCAGTCAAAGCCAGGGTTGATGTGAGTGGGGATCTGGAGCTTTACAATCTGCCCACATCCAGTTTCTGTTATTGGAAGCTGAATATGTTCCCAGCCGACACAGGAGGAGAAAGCTACCTTGATTTCCAATGACTTGCCGGTTCCTAGTTCCCTTCCTTGTGAAGGCAGTTCCAATGCCTGCCCTTGGGTTCCACTAAGACCCTTTGTATCACACAAGATTTCTGAATTGCAAACAACAGAAACTTCCTGTGGCCCATAGGCAGAAAGGGAATTAGTTTGTTATTGCAAAGAAATGAGGAAGCCTAAGCGAAAAAGAATCTGGCTTGGGCACTCAGGGACCTGCTTTTCCTCCCCACACATGCTCCTCTGGGTGTCCACTGGTGGAGTGTCTGCTATTTGCAGCCTTCACTGTGACACTGCTACACAGTCCCCACTGGTGGTTCTGAATAGCCCCTGGCAACCTCTCTATGGGGAGAGGGCGCAGACCAAGGTACAACAAGGTACCTCAAAGAGGATCCCTCGAAATCCCGGATCTTCCTCTGCTCCTCCAAGAAGCTACCACAAAGGACTTCCTTCCGCCCTTGCCAACAGTAACCGGTTCGGGTTCTTGGAGTCGTGACTGTGACGATAAGGTGCCCTTCTCCCGCAGCTTGGCAGCATCACCAGTGCCTGTTGTTGCAGAAACTAGAGTCATGAAATGTCTGGGGGAAAAAATAGCTCCTGGATCTGCGTTCCCAAACGTGCTCCCGGGAAATGCAGTGGTTTCCAATGTTTTAGGGACTTGGGGAATCAGAGCACTATGGGAAGGATCCRAGGAAGCCCCATACCTGCTGAAGCCCCTCTTTTTCATGCAGAGGCCTCCCGGGCAGGAGGTGGGGCGCCCGGTGAGGGGAGACTATCTCGCTTATCAACTTGGCCTCGTTTCCATCAAGATGCACCGCCTGCATCTGTCTGCTCAGTGTCCCCAGTTATTTTGGGCCGACTCATGACCTTGTGAGCCTGTTTCTGCCTTTAAAATATTTTTCTCTGCCCATCTGTTCCCCAGGAATCTATTGCACTGCCTCCGTCCTGCAAGGGAAGCCTTGGCGGCTTGCTCGTTTTCGTTTCCTCTCATCTCTAGCACACCGCTTTCCTCCCTCAGACCCTAAAATACTGGCAGCAGACATTTTTTTCTTCCGACTAACTGTGGTCTCAGCAGAGATCAAAGGGGCTCTTTGACAGGCAAATCACCTCTACAGTTAAATATCCAGCCTCCGTTCTTTCAGGCAGTGAATACTGGGTGCCTACTATGTGCCAGGCACTGATGCTACTGTGCTAGATGCTGTGGCCTTGAYCTTGGCTCCCCCTTTCCTGTTCTGATCTACTGCTTCAACGGAAAGGGACTTGGAATCGGCGGTACTGGGTGTGTCACAAGCTAGAGCTCAGTTTTGACATTCACATATATTTTGGCTTTGAACAGGCTCACTGCTGGGTGTTCTCTAAAGAGAGCTGTAGGCAGCGATGACCCTCTTCTGGGAGTTTCTCTGTGCCTTCTGGCAGTTGACACTTAATAACTAACAATAGTAGCTACTTTTTATATTGCTTTTGCCAGCATCAGACCCTGTGCTGACAGGATCCCACTTAATACTACATGTATCACTGCAGTTTTGCCTATGGAATGACAAGTCCAGAGTAGGTAGGTAACTTGCCCAAGGTCACAGCGCAGGGATCAGCGTCCAGACTTCTYCCCCTTAACTGCTCCAATGTATCGTCTTTCTCAGCAAATTCTACGAACCTGCTGGTTTTCTAGTCATCAGTGAAGGTGGGGATGGCACTTTTTCTATAAAGGGACAAATAACAAAAGCCCATTTTCTAATAAGAGGCCATTTTGCTTTGTCACCGTWGGGTCTCTGTTGCCTCTGCTCAGCTCTGCCATGGAGGTTGATGGGTAAATGAATAAGCATGGCTACGTTCCAATAAAACTTTATTTATAAAAATAGGCAGTGAGCCAGATTTGCCAACCCTGTGTTCAGCTGACTGGATGATGAACACCTGCACGCTGCTTGCAGGAAGTCCAATGATCACTGTCCCCACCATGGAGAGCAGGTTCTGT